TTTCAAAAAGGAACCAAACAAGTACCTAGAAGTAAAAGGATCAGGAATTATAGATGAGAAGATAGATAGGTAAAAGGAATCTTTTGGGAAGATAGTTGGGCAAGCTGAATGGATCAATTATCTACTCTTATCTTAAACTGTTGCCGTATAACTATAGATTTCAATAATTACTAATTGTTTTGGTGCCAGAACATTAGATAAGGGCTTTCCTATGATTGCTGTTTTATTCAAGTTATACAAAAATTAAATTTTATTCAAGTTATACAAAAATTATTATGGATAATCTGGAATTTAAAACCAGATAAGTAGATTTAAAAGTTAAATATGGGCCAATTCTTTGTTCAATTCTTATAAAATATTGTATGCATTTTCTTGAAAAACAAGTTTCAACGTTTGGTAATGGCATTCCTTTAAAGCATTTTATATATTATAGTGAATTGCTGTGCTTGTCAACGTGAAGGATACAAGTGTTGGGAAGTGGAACAGTTTTCACAGCAGCATCAATTATTTCCAGGTCAAGTATAGCTTTAGGCATTTGGCAGATAGAACCTTAACTCTAATTTCTAAATGATGGACAGTTTAAAATGTAAGTCCATGTCTGTGTGAGCTTGGTCAAAACTACCCAACTAATTTTAATTGAGACCCTAAAAGCCAGCCGAGACGAGATACGTTTGTCCCATTAAACTGGGGTAATGTTTGAATTGGGTCCCATAGGTGAAAGAGCAGTGTGGCAATCAGTTGTCCCTCCCTGTAGCTATCAAAGCAAACTTGTGTATTTTTAAAGCAAGTGACAAAAATATAAACAGAATTCACATTAAGCACATTGGTTTAAAATTAAAGTTAAAACTAAAGAAAGAAACATCGAAAATAGTAGATAAAATGCAATACAGTTTCTTCTGAAGTGAGCGATTGTCACCTAAACACATCTCAAGATCAGGTTCTCCCAAAGCAGGTATACATCAAATTACCAGATGCTTCACATAATCGGAGAATTGAGCATGAGGAGTACAAAAGGAAGGTGACTGCTGTCCATTACCACTTTAAAATTCTGATGCAGATATGGGTCACGCTTCAATCTTATCTCAATAGTAATTATTATGGTTCCAATATTTAACAGATTTAGTTAATAATATGATGGCAGAGACAGATAGATAGATGCTTGCAAATTTTTTTTCTGCTTCAAAAAGACATCAAGTCTGTGACTCAAGTCGATGATTTTATCGTCAAATCTGAAGAGGAGGTTGATTAATTCTGAAAAGCACTCCAGGAACTTGAAGTCTCTGGCTATGTAAGTAAATCTTTGGTGATTTCCACCCCCCACCCCCCACCACTCCCCAAGAGCTGCTCTGTCAGTCAGTTTTAACCCTTATGCACCAAAGCTTTGCAGTGCCTCTGTACTTACTGGCGTTTCTGCTGGCAGTTGTTCCATTTATAATGTTCTTTGTCTCTTATCGTCATTGATAGCATTGTGCTCCCTTTGTCTCATATTGTCTTTCTCCTATAGTAAAAGCAGTTGCCTTGTTGTGTATGTGCAAGTGATTACGCATGAAGTGCTTGGCTCTTTTATGGTTCTGTTTGTGTGTGCCTGCCTGATACAAGTTAGGCTCCGTCTCCAAATCTCATAAAATGTACAGCACAGTGACCCATCAAGCCTAAAGTGTTGCTAGCTCGTGCACTGGAGCTAAATTCTCTAACCCCACTTACTTGTTTCCTCCTCTTACCCTTTTATATTCTTCCTCTTCAACTGTTTATCCAATTTCCTTTTAAATATTAAAGTCTCAGCATCAATATCTACTCATGACAAAGCATTCCACTCTCTAAATAATGCTCTGCCTGGAGTTACTCTCAATTACTTCTGTTATTATCACTTGGATGAGGAGACAACATAGCTGAACTTTCACTGCTGCATCCCCCAAGTTGAATAATTTGAAAATTGTTGGAGATTTAAAGAGTTAAAGCAATGTAGTATACTTTAAGAGATTGTATACATTTTACTAAAATATTATAAATATTTCCAATTAGGTAATCTAATCTAAATTCCCCTTTGACCATATCTACGGTCACCGTCACCCTCCCCCTAGCTCGGCAAGGGGCTCAGCCACTGTTAAGTGCTCTGAGATGCCGTCCGGCATGAAGGGAGCTATATAAATGCAAGCTGTTGTTGTAAATTAGCAATTTCTTCATATAGTATCTGTTTAAAAGGAACAGAAATGATACCCACTTGGCATTTCATAATTTTGACCTCGTAATTTTGAAACAGAATATTTTCCCTGACTGATGTTATTCATTTGGAGAACAGATCAAATAAATAACAACCCAAACTATCAGTAGTAGATCCTTCCTTTGAAATAAAAAGCCTCATTAGGAGACTTCAGCACCATATTGGTGCTCTCTTCAAATATTTCAATACAGAAAACCATGTCAACATCAGAACAGAAAGATGCTTAGTTGATACATACAATTAACATATTCTGCCTTTATATTTTCTTCAAAGACTTGCACGTACAATGATGAATACCAAGATCCCACTTAAATGAACCCCTTAATTGCTTTATAGATTACCTGGTTTGGACAAAAAAAATGCCCGAACAAATGAAGGGCAGTTTGCAAGCTAGGAGTAACATTTCTGTTGTTATCATGAAATTTATTACCCCTCAGATATTTTACCTGGTATTCTAAATCCTCCAAGTTCAGTTTAAATAAGATACACATCATCTTGGAATAATAAATAATCCTTGTACTTAATAAAGTACTTTATTACGTCATTGAATCATCTCAAAATGTTTCACAGGATTTTACCACAAAGTGCAGTGATTGCATTTGTAGGCGAATGATGTTAACAAATTATTTTTTAAAAAGCTGGTAAAAAGGTGTCACGGCCAATATGCTTGTTCCTCGTTTGTCATTCTGAGAAGTTAAATACTGAGAGGCAAATCGTTCGTGCACTACAGAACCACTGGATTCCAGATTGAGTTCACGTAATTCAGTCACATTTTTAGGGTAGCTCCTTTTTTACTTTGCAAACAACTTTAGTTAAAAAGAATATGGCGGAAAATTGCAGTACTACAAAATGCATTCTGTTCCTTAATTAATAACATTTCTTAATTGAGAAAGCTTTATTAAAAGTATACAAATGAGTTACTGGTAATATGTCCTTTAGAACTCTCCTAAACAATAGGTTTGGTACTGAACAAGCTGCTGACTCCTGGACAATGGTTTATTCAAACAGTAGTTCCTTTGAAGCTTGAGCTATGTTTTAACTTTGAATTTTAAATTTTACAATTGATTTTAAGCCCACCCAGTGGCAGAGAAGTTTCCATGGTCTCCACAGCCCACAATAAATGCCTTCACAATCCTCACTCACTTAAAAATGCATTCCTCAATCCTTTCTCTTTCCAGCAACACACTGAATTGCTTCTGCAACAGATTTATTCTATTCGCTTCAATAGGTTTCTTACTCCTCTGGGCTGAAATTCTGGTTGGGTTATGCATTGTCAATGTCAGACGCTAATGGGATTTCCCCCGTTATAATCGCACATCCCCAAAGGCACTATGCATAAGGCTAAGCGAAACTTCAGCAACCAAGTTGCCTAAATTTTGTTGCTTATGATCCTGTTTTCTTTTAAGCAGAACAAGGAAAGTTTCTCAGGCTAAGTGAACTATTACTATTGCTGTACAGTTTCTAACTCTTGTCTGTCTGCACTTAAACCCTTCACCATAGATGACATTGACAAGTCATCAAGATCGACTCTGTTTCAAACTTTATCTCTGGTCATTACAAGTATTTAGCCTGTGATCATGTTTACAATATACTAATTATTTATAGAAATGTTTACATACATTGTGCATCATACAATTTGTACTGAAGCAATTTGTTTATAAATTATATTTAAGTATAGTATTTCATGGTAGCAATGAGTATAACTGTCCAAAGATATAAAATAAATACAAGGCAGCCCTGGTAGAATGTGCATTGGATGAGCACTACACTGAAAGTGCAATACACCTTTCTTCAAGCGCTGAGCTAAAATAAAGGATCATGACCAGGTATGAGGATGTCACTGATGTCACTTGCGTGGCACTGCGCAGGTGCATTATGCATGAACTGCATAATCTATTAAGAAATACATTTTGCAATTTGTACCTGAGTTTTCGTGTGTGTTTTCATTACATCTTTTAAATAGATGTACTGTATTACATACAGGACAACCATGTTATGACACAATTGTCTGAGTTTCAGTGGCTACAAAGTAGGAATGAAGTCTTTCCTGAAGTGCTGTCAGTGGTGCTTCCATCAAATAGCAGATGTGCACAGGAATAATAATCCCGTAGTGTAGTGGTTAGCGCATTCACCAGGCAAGAACTCGGTCATTAATCGATTGGCGGATTGCTTTCAGGAGGTAATAATTCCTTAAAAAATATATATTTGGCCACTCAATGCACTTCTGCTACGTTTTGCCCATAAAATACACAGTCAATCCACTTTTACAGTACATTCCGTGAAGCTCTTTGAGACGTCTCAATGACATAATAAGGCGCTATATCAATTGCAAGGATTATTATTCCTGTGCACATCTGCTATTTGATGGAAGCACCACTGACAGCACTTCAGGAAAGACTTCATTCCTACTTTGTAGCCACTGAAACTTAGACAATTGTGTCATAACATGGTTGTCCTGTATGTAATACAGTACATCTATTTAAAAGATGTAGTGAAAACACACATGAAAACTCAGGTGCAAATTACAAAATGTATTTCTTAATAGATTATTGATTTGGTTATGTTTGATACCACTGGCAAAACATGAGCATGACCAGCTTTTGTACCTCTAGCTCATTTATAATTTTGAAAGAACAGATTTTTCAATAATTCAGTGCAAAAGTGTCTGAATAATATAATCCACAATACTTATCCACTGTCACACGATACACAGAAAGTTACAATATTTTATAATTAACTGATAATGAACAGAAAGCGATAAATCATAGAATATACTCACACTTGGAATGTCGTCAACCGTTCTTTCCTTATTCACTTCACTATGCAACTGCTTAAGAAGGCTAACATATGGCAGTTCCTTTCCATACTGCCCATATGGATTATGCTGGTAGAAACTGATGACTGGAGAATGGCTTATAAAACTTTGATCCTTTTCATTTCGCTGCTGTTGACCTACTGTGAGATGATAATGATTAAACATCAATCACAGAATTTTAACGCATTAATTTGAGGTCAAGGTAATAAGATTATACGGAGTTCTAGATAAGAGTTCTTCTTGGCTGTGAAACAATAGATACAATAAATTTAATAAGAAAAGACCCATGGCCTAAACCTTTCCTTTCTCCTCATCAGAACAGATTGGATCACAAGCAAAAATTTTGTAATTACCATATATTTATCCGAATGTTTCCTTTTTAATTCCTCTGAAAGTCACCCACCAATATGAAGCCTCTTTTAAACAGGTCTGCAGTATGACCAGGGTTGGACATTAATCTACAACCTATAGTAATACTTCTCTATGCCTAGAATGCTTCTGGTTCAATGATCTGCCTAACGCATCTCGCCAGTGATGAATTCTGCAAAGTGCCTGGAAGGCAAACAGTTTTGCTTTACCAATGGTAGCTGTGACATCATGAGGCAGCACTGGCATTCAATTCCATGACCGGCAGAGTACAGATATAGTCCAATGTGACTGAGTTGCCAATGACTTACTGTTTTAGCAATAAAAGTACAAAGAGCCATAATGTAATAAGAGTAACAAAGTCAAGGATAAGCATTTACATTCAATTTAGCTCATGATTTCACCTCAGGTTAAAGGGTAAAACAAGAAATTAATGAATTATTGTCTCAGTCAGAATGCGTACCCTACCTCCTGTGGAAGGTTAACGCACGTAAAAGTGAACCTACAGGCTAGGATGTTTGCGTCCTTTTCCATTTGAGCAAAATTACAAGACTGTATTAAGTCAACTCGCACCTGTGGTTTTATGTTTCTGTCTATTACTACTGGTTGAAAATGAGGCATAACTATGTTTGCATCATCCTCTCCAAATTTTGTTAAAGGCAAATCGTGTCTGACAAACAGAAGGCGTTCTTCAATGAAATAATGGAGAGGATTAATGAAGGTAGTGCAATTGATGTTATGTATATGGACTTTCAAAAGGTGTTTGATAAAATGACACATTAGACAATAGACCTCTTAACAAAATTGAAGCCCATGGGATTAAAGGGACAGTGGCGGGATGGATATAAAATTGGCTGGTAGAGACAAAAAGCAGAGAGTAATGGTGAGCAGTTGGTTTTAAGACTGGAGGGAAGTATACAGTGGTGTCCCCTAGGGTTCGGTATTAGGACTACAGCCCTTTTTGAATTATATTGATGACCTGGACTTGGGTACAGGGAGCACAATTTTTAAGTTTACAGATGACACAAAACTTGGAAATGTCGTAAGCAGTGAGGAGGATAGTAGCAGACTGCAGGAGGATATAGACAGATTGGTGAAATGGACAGACACATGGCAGATGAAATTTAATACAGAAAAGTGTGAAGTGATGCATTTTGGGAGGAAGAATGAAGCGTTTATATAAAATAATAATATAAGCTAGATGGTACAATTTTAAAGGGGGTTTAGGAACAGAGGGATGATCTAGAGCTAGGAGTCACAAGCACAGTGGTTAATTTTACAAATGACACAAAGCTAATGAAGGTGAAAGATTGCAAAGATAAACAGAATAGGTTACAGGTGGACATGAACATTCTTGGGTATTGGGCAGATTAATGGCAGATGAAATTCAATGTGGAGAAATGCAAAGGGCTTCACACGGGGACAAAAAATCCAGGAAGGGACTATTATTTAAATAGAAAAAAAATCTGTACGGAAAATGAAAAGGACCTAGAGGTAGGGATTGACAATAAATTGAAGTGCTCGGTAGCAGTGAGTAAGGCAAACCAGATGCTGGGTTGTATTAAAAGAGCAATATTGCGCCGAAATAGTGGGGTGATCCTGCCACTTCATAAATCACTGGTGCGACCGCACTTGGAATACTGTGTGCAGTTCTGGTCACCGCAATATAAAAAGGATATTGCAGCGATTGAGAGGATATAGAGGGCAACCAAAATGACTGAGGGGATGGAGGGACTGGACTATGAGGAGCTATTAGAGAAACTGGGCATGTTCACCCTGGAGAAGAGAAGGTTGAGGGGCGATATGATTATATTCTTTAAGATTCTGAAGGGACTAGATAATATAGACCATGATAAGCTGTTTTATCTTGTATTGACCAGTAGAACCAGAGAACATGGCCTGTGATTGAAGAGGCATAAATTCAGAACAAATCTGCGGAAACACTACTTCACAAGCAAGTAGTAAACTTATGGAACAGGCTCCCCAGGGAGACGGTGGAATCAGAAAATGTTTGTTTCAAGAACAAATTAGATATGGGATTAGATATTGGCTTTATAAACAGAGGCATAGAGTACAAAGTAAGGAAGTTATGCTAAACCTTTATAAATCACTGGTTAGGCCTCAGCTGGAGTATTGTATCCAATTCTGGGCACCACACTTTAGGAAGGATATCAAGGCCTTGCAGAGGGTGCAAAGGAGATTTACCAGTATGATACTAGGGATGAGGGTTTTCAGTTATGTGGAGAGACTAGAGAAGCTGGGATTGTTCTGCTTAGAGCAGAGAAGATTAAGGGGAGATTTAATAGACGTATTCAAAATTATGAGCGGTTTTGATTGAGTAAATAAAGACAAACTACTTCCACTGACGGGTGAGTCGGTAACCAGAGGACACAGATTCAATTGGCAAAAGAACCAGAGGGGAGACAAGCAGAAATGGTTTTACCCAGATAGTTATTACGATCTGAAATGCACTACCTGAAAGCATGGTGGAACCAGATTCAATAATAACTTTCAAAAGGGAATTGGATATTTACTTGAAATGAAAAAATTGCAAGGCTTTGGGGTAAGAGCAGGGGAGGGACTGGTTGGATAGCTCTTTCAAAAAGCCGGCACAGATTGAAAGAGCTGAATGGCCTCCTTCTGCGCTCTAGGATTCTATGATTCAATGAAAACATGTCACAACCTTGGTAAGAAGTGACAGTGACTCAAATAACTAATTTCTGGGAATAAGTGAAGGGTGTATGAGGTTAAGATATAATTTTTTTTTCAATTAGCTTACTGAGTTTGTTGTTCTTCATTTTGCTGTATAATTCTTTGTCTCTGGTTCCTTTCTCATTTATTCCATATTCTACTTCAATTTCATTGTCACTGCTGCTGGCAGAGTAGGAACACATCCGTATTGCTCTGTCCTGCAAAAGCAATTGTACAGTGGTTACCAGGACTATTAATTTTATTTTGATAGCTTTATTACTTTGCAAAAAGGTTCCATTTTGATCTCTGAAAAAAGATGAACTTTCTAAGGCTTCTCACTTAAAATACAAGGACCTACATTGTTTAAACATTTTCCCCATTATTGGCCTTCCACAATAGTTTGGAATTACACTGTAAATGGGTTTATTATGGTTGTGGGTTTGAGAAATATTAGGTTATATATCAGGCCGAGTTCAAATATCTTCAGCCAAAGCGCTTGTTGTTTCCAATAAAATGCTGAATATACTGGATGTCATGTTGGCTGATCTTTCTTTTGAGCAGAGTTTTAAACTAAATTCATGACCATAAGGGAGGGAGACTTGCTGTTTTAGATGAGCATGAAGCAGCAACATTTTTTGACAACTGCAATACACCAGAAAGGGTTACAAGCCAACTGATAGTTCAAATTACTAATGCTGCCTAGATAGGAAAAATCTTTTGTTATAGAAGTAGATGTGCAACAAGCTGTTCAAAGATTTTTAAAAAAATAATTTCCATTCATCAGAAGTCCCTGAGACAGGGACATTTAGTTCACTTGGCAACGATGACAGTGACACCGATTGTCTTTGTGACAATTGCGAAGATTTGGTGTAATTCTTCTTGTTGAGGGACAATCAATTTAAATTACAGTCAAAGGAGCTCTAAAATTAAAACATTCTTGATATGATTTGCTGTACTGTAATGCATGATTTTAATTTGAATGAAACAGTATGTGTTATTTGAGAGTCTGTTCAGGCGTAAAAGCATACAATAGCACAGAGACTTTTTAAAAATAATAAATATTAAAATGGTAATATCTAACGGATCTGAAATGACAGTCTCGTTAAACGATAGCCTACGTAAACCTAAATCCAAAATGTATACTTACCTCCGGAACTAAAACTATGTCGTTCACTATTAATGTGATGACAAATTGTAGCATTGCAATCACACTTCCCTTTCATGCTTTTCCTTAAGACCACCTTAGTCACTTATGTGTTATTGTTATGGAATTTAATATTTCCAAAGTAACTACCAATAGACAACTGAAAAATCAGGTTTTCACTTGACAAATAGAGATCAGCAGAAATCAAATGCTTATGCAATGAAAAATCTCACAGGTGCACTCAAGAAGAAATTAGGTCAGGCCAAGAGCTTGTATGGTTATTGTCAACGATGATGTAGAATAAAAAAATTGTTTTGAACTTTCTATAAATCTTTGAAGGTTTGACAACTTGCCAATTTTGGAAACTAATCTTGACTCACAGAAAACTTTTTCCATATGGTCCAATCCTTACCAATTCATTTAAAAAAATAAAAAGCACATTGGGACATCCTCCTGACATGAAAGGTGCTATACAAATATAATCTTGTTGTTGTTGTTAAAAAATAAATGGCTAAATTAACTTTAAGACATGATAAGTTACTATTGTTTGTGATTACTACATTAGTGGATGAATTGTCCTTCAATAGGGATCAATTTTATTAATATAAGAAAAATTGTTACAGTATTGAACAACCGAAGCAGTGATAAATGGAAATAACCTGAACTGCATGCTGTCTCATTCCCACCAAAAGAATATATTATATTTCATATCAGGTAGGGTTCTTTCATGTTCCCGATGGTAAAATCTAATATTCAATGCCCTATTCCTTGTCAAATAATAATAATAATAATCCTTGCATTTGATATAGCGCTTTTCACGTCGGGAGGACGTCCCAAAGCGCTTCACAGAACACACTGTAAAGTGAATTGACTGTATATTTGTGGGCGAACGCGGCCGCCAATTGCGCACAGCAATATCCCACAAACAGTCGTAGATTGAAAATGACCAATTTATTATTGTTTTTGGTTTTTGGAGGGATTATTATTAGGCTCTGTGTGGAGTAAGGAAACTTGCCCAAGGTTTCGTTCTGCCTGGAATTGAACTCAGGTCTCTCATTTGCAAAGCAAGTGCTCTAACCACTGAGCTACAGAACTCTGCAAAAAAAAGAACAAAATAAGCAAAATATATTTCAATCTATGCAAATAAATGAATAAGAGTAACAAAACTAACTCATATTTGACAAACTTTGCTGAATTTATTACAAAATCAGAATGTGTACTGTTTTATCTGTATATGGGAATTGAAACAAATGAATAGCCTGGAATATTTTAATTGAAGGTCTTTGTTCATTCAGTGATTGCTACCATTTTTTAAAAAATCCTATACACACAATTTATATACTGTGCTGGTTTCTATAAGGCCAGGAAGCAGATCTTCTGCCCTGTCATTTCTTTCCCTATTATTCCAAAGTGCTTTAATGGGAAAAAGAATTTTCATATTGTGCTGTTAAGTGCAAAAATACAATCAAACATCAAGTAACTTATATTAATTACGATCCCAATTCAATATTTCACACAGATAGCAAAGCCACTATTCTCCCAATAATGTAGAAATAAAATCGCACATTTTTGTTTGTGGGACATTACTGTGCACAAACTGGCTGCTGTGCTCACCCAAAAAACTCAGTTAATCTGCTTTACAGTGAATCCTACGAAGCACTTTGAGCTTCACAGGATTTGTCCTCCCGTAGTCTTCAAGTATCAAATATACCTTTGCCAGATGCCGGTTAACCTCAGACGTCGGGTAAATCAAACAAAATGCCCATCCCCGATTCATTTGTATTCTTACCTGTTTTAAATATGTCCGTTAATTTGGATGGCAGTTGAGGTAATCTGGGCAAAATGCCACGCTGGTTGCCGCTGAAAGTGCTCATTCACAAGCAGCTGGAGTTGGGTTATCAATTAGCGAGGGGGGGGGCAGAGGAATAGGGAAGAACAAGGGAGGAAATATCCTCTGCTGGACGGTGAAGTACTGGACTGTATTTTGCAGCCAAATATAGTTTACTGAATTCTGTGAGAGTATTTTATTGTAATAATAATCCTTAATTTGATATAGCGCCTTATAATGTCTTCTAGATGTCTCAAAGCGCTTCACAGAGTATACTGTAAAGTGAATTGACTGTATATTTGTGGGCGAAAGGTGGCAGCCAATTGCACACAGTGGTGTCCCACAAACAGTCGTGGATTGAGTGACTAAATTAGTATTTTTCTGAAGGGATTATTGCTCCTTGAAAAGCGATCTGCCAATCGACTAACAACTGGGTTCCCACTTACTGCTCGGTAAACAGAGGTGTGTGGAGTAAGGAAACTTGCCCAATGTTCCGCCCCATCTGGGAATCAAACCCAGGTATTCTCGCTTGCGAGACGAGTGCTTTAACCACTGAGCTACAGGACTCCATTTCAACTTTAGTTAACATTGTTTCAAGTGAAACATGTTTATCATCATTATTATTATCACTTAATTTTGTGTCAGAGTGGAATTTGTTTAAAGTCCACCTGAACAAGACCATGCTTGAATATCTCTTCTGAAAGACAATACCTTCGATAATGCAGCGCTCCCCAAGCATTGCATTGGAGTGTCAGCCTAGATTATGTATTCAAAATCCTGTCGTAGACCTTGAAATCACAACTCCTAACTCAGAAACAACAATTCCATCAAGGCTGACACATTTTACATCTTTTGAATCCTGAGAAAAGGACTAAAATGAAGCAAAAATGGAATTTGCTATTTGCTCAGTGACTTCAGTTTGTAAACATCGCATTTTCTTGCCCGATGAGTATTTCATGGTTTTGAAGCAGTTAATATGAAATATCTACAAATAAAGCCATGGAGCGTGCACTTCAATGTGAAAATGATTGCACAGCAAATTTGCAAAAGGCAATTTTTGGATAACACTCAGCAAGTCTTGGGTGGTCAGGTAATGGAGCAGTTTTATAACATTTGTGGTAGCGAAAGTGCATCTTCCAACATTCAACCCAGGGACCAAAACCTTAACAATGTAACAGACAGTCTCAACAATGTCTATGCTACTCTGAGAGCCTGCTACAGAAAAGAAAAAACTGTGCAACTTAAAGAAAAGCATTTTGTTAGAGTACGTTGTTGTGCAGTTGAACAAAAGAATGTAGATTCAAAGTGATAAATGATGTGTAGTAAAAAGCTGCACTGAAAGAAAGTAATATACATCTATTACAGTAGAGGATTTATGCAAATTGGAATAAATAGCTCGGAATGGAATGCACTTAAGACATTTCTATGGGCCACATTACTATGTCTCAAACGACACACTCCTAATTTCAAAAAATGGCAATTGGAGGGCACAGAAAGCTACAAGGCACACTAACCACATACAATGGGGCAATAGTGGCCAGATTCAGAGATACTGCTGTCGAAGTTATGGGGAACAGTAATCATTGGAGTCGGTGATCTTTTTTCTAGATTTGGACCCATTTTCTGGTTGCAGCATCTCCCAGCAGACTGATTGTTGATGCATTATACGATTAATAACTGGAACCTTGCTACCATAGACCATCAGGAACTAAACCACATTGATTACAAGGAAACCCACAAGATCCATTCAAGGCATCATATACTTGAAGACTTCTTAAAGTTATAGATTAATGTTAAAACTTAGTTTATTTTAAATAAGATATGATAGGAATGGCTGCAGTCATTGTGTACCTGTGCACTCACAGCACACGAGCTACTTGATTGTTCAGAATCCTTCATCTTCTCTGCCAAGTCTGAAAAACCACTTTTATGGCTATTTGAAAATTTGGCAGTTGTACCACTCTGATCCATACTGTCTCGTTTTCTATGTTTAGGCATCAGGAAACCTAAAACATAATCAAATTGTTCAGCTGTTTTAATAATGTCCTTGCTAAAAAGAATTGCTCGTTATACTCTTAACAAAGGCAGCAATGTCTAAAGTGCATTTACATTTTTTTTACTTTGATGGTTTTCATTTATGTTTTAAATGTCAAATTTATAAAGTAACATCTCTAAAAAAGATATTGTTCTAAAAAACAAAGCATGCTACTTTGTGAAGATATCCACAGAAAATAAAGCCACACAGTTAAAACTCCTATGTTACACTGACTATCTGGCTTACAGTATCTTGCGATGTCTACATCTTGACATGTTAATTTAGAAAGTATTCCGTGCCATTGTCAGTATGGTGATGTTTAGCATCCAGATCACTATAGACTTTTCCTATTATCCAGTCTTCATGAAACAATCCATTGCTCATGGTTTCTATTCAATTTGTTATAATGACAGTGTTTAATCACTCAACCTGCTCCACCGCCGACCAGTGAAATGAGGTCACACATGTGACCATCCAGCTGTACATTCGAGATCTCCCACACAAACTGAACACAATTATACACAATGTTTTCAGCACGCAAATTTCTAAATATTTAGGGAGACGGAAAAAAAGTTATAGGTCTATTTCCATTTAAACTTGATGGTGTAGTATTTGTTCAATTTAGATTCCTACTGTTTATAATCCAATATTACACCCCTTAAAACTCATAACGCGTTTGAAATTATGTGCACACAAATGAGTCATTAATGCATTCATTATCACAAGAAATCTATAGTTCTTGGCTATTTTAAGTATTTAGAGCAAAGTTTTAATTAGAATGTAGCAAATTCCAATGGATTTTAAATACTGCCATTTTTATCCTTGGTAAATTCATGTTGGCAGGTTTGCCGGTGATACCTTACATTACAAAACCTCAATAATCTTTTGTTTAATAGCCTGTTATCACACTGGGCAGACAATTTTGAGTATAAAACTTGGTGAAAGGTCAGATGACATTTACCTGCTCGAGATGTTTTTGGAATGCAACTCTGAAACGACTGCAAACCCTTGGAAGTCATTGTAGGATCTGATGCTGAATGACTAATTGTATCTGGTCCAGGGTGGCTTCCTTCACCACTGCTAGGCACTTCTCGTTCAAGTGTTTTTGCTTTTTGAAATATATTTGTGGGGTGGGGGGCTTCCCCTGGGGATGAGGAAAGTTCACATTCAAGGCTGGACGTTGATTTAGGAACGTGTCTTCCTGATGGCCGGTTTGTAGAATCAGGAAGGGGAAAAGTTCCAATCCCACTGTCCAGTGTTCTCATCTGACAACTTGATCCTGAGGTATAGGAAAAGTAAATGAGGGATGGAACAACAGGAAACAGGCTCTATAGGCAGTGAAATGGATTATGGGGGAAAAGGGCAACTTTGAAGGAAAAATTAATTATTTCAGTGAAGAAACAGTACTCTCTAAATAATAAAGGCATTATTCCATGTAAAGTTTTATGATAATAATAATAATAATAATCCTCGCATTTGATATAGCGCTTTTCACGTCGGGAGGACGTCCCAAAGCGCTTCACAGAACACACTGTAAAGTGAATTGACTGTATATTTGTGGGCAAACGCGGCAGCCAATTGCGCACAGCAATGTCCCACAAACAGTCGTAGATTGAAAATGACCAATTTATTATTGTTTTTTGGGGTTTGGGAGGGATTATTATTAGGCTCTGTGTGGAGTAAGGAAACTTGCCCAAGGTTTCGCCCCTGCCTGGAACTGAACTCAGGTCTCTCGCTTGAGAGGCGAGTGCTCTAACCACTGAGCTGCAGGACTCCACGATCCACTGATCACTGTTATAGGTTGCATTGTTTCTTTGCCTCATTAACAGAGAAAATATAGAAAGGACAATGTTTAAAGTATGCTTTTTTTATTTACACCAGCTTTAAACATAGCTTGCTGTTATTCAAATTGTAAGTCTCAAACAGTTTGGTTTGTATTTTGTTTCCCATTTTATTCTATGCTAATGTAACAAACTGCTGTGTTTTTAAAACAAGGAATAGTATTCAACTGAGAGGTTGGTGATAGATTAATAGTGACACACATGACGACCAATTCTGCTGGATGATATTGGCTGAAATGCAAAAACACCGTTCATTTTAGGAATAGGAATTAGAATGCTTTACTTCTCCTCCTTGAAATTGAACAATCTGAGCCAAGCCAGACAACTGGAGGTAATGCATATAAACATTGAGTTAGATCACTAGCCAGATCAGATGAAGAGACATTTCACTGATTTACACATTTTTACTAAACTACACATCAAACACACAGACCATCAGTCATCCTATGCTTATCAGGCAGAGGGTAAGCACAACAGATGCAATAATACAATAATGCTTGACTGGTAAATGTAGCATTTTACACCAGATTGTTTCAGTTTGATGGAAAAACACAAGAAAAAAGTATAGATAACTTACTTAGTTGCAGTTTATGCAGGAGTTAAAAAAATGCTCATAGTTGTTCCTAATCATACATCCAACTATCTGCTTTATTGAGAGGTCATAACATAACTTGCACTTATATAGCCCCATTTTATGTCAAATGGCCCAAAGTACTTTACAATACAAATTTACATTTATATAGCACCTTTCACATTGGGAGGACTTTACAATATAAAACTGGTTAGAACTAAGCCTTTGCATACGCAAAGTTAATATGTGCCACAATGTCCCATAATCAACAATGAAATTAGTAGTCAATTAATTTGAATTTGATGAGATGGGAATAAGGCCAGGGAAGCAGGAAAAAATACACCTTATAGAATATAAAATGGCTAAAGTCAGTTATTTCTTTTTTTTATTAGATATGAAATTAGATTTTTCCAGGATATTACATATTTTTCTTTTTCAAACATTCATTTTATTTCTTGTCTTGTTTATTTTGGTGCACATTTGTTTGTATACAGCCATAAGCCAAGAGGCACTACATATCATGAAAACATTAAATTTGCTGTAATTGTTTGTGAATTCAGTCTGTTAAGAGTACCAAAAATACAGTATTAATCATTATTTGACATCAATTGACATGTTTGTGAAATTTCAATTCATTATTGAACTTGGAAAGGCAAATGCCTCACAAGGTTTTTAATAGCATTAAATATTGTATGACTGGTTCATCAGGAAATATTATTTAAAATAAGCAATACTTGTTGCTGGGGTTCTGCACACATTAAATTGTGCATCAACATACCTTTAGCTAACAAATACAAAACTGCTAAACTACAGGAGGTGAATTTAATCACTTTCAGTAGCATAAAAGAAGAACATAATGGTAGTGGTTTACTGGGCATTCGTGATGTTGTTGACTGAGGGAAAGCAGCGCTCCATTCCTACATATTCAAACCTATCCCCAGAATGCAGACATTTACCTTTGAATGAAATCCCCAGCAATTCAAAAAGCAGACATGAAAATTAACACTTTTCTTTCCCTTCAATTTGTTTCCATTCAGTTTCTCTCCTGGAGTCACGGACCTTTATTTGAATACAGTTGCAACATCACCCAAACTCAAATATTGCGCATGTACCAATAACCAATCTGTAAAGCCCCGGTGAGCTGGTTTCAATGTAGTAATCAGAAAGGAAGGATGGTGTAGTGAATTGGCTGATTTAAAAAAAAACATTTTGTAAACACATTGCATGCTGGCTCTAATTACATCTTACCAATCTACAGCACAAATGGAGGAAACTATCTGATCCAAGTGATCTGAAAATTGACGGTGATATTTCCAGTGTTTAGAAAATCAGCATTGCAATCTTTGTGGGGTTTTTTTGTGTAGTGAAAACTGGCATGCAGCAGCAATTCAAACCCATGATATCATTGATAATAATTGGGCATAAGTAGTGTACAAAGATGTAGCAAATTAATCTGTCAAATTAAGCGTAAACACTATCCTGATAGATAGCGAAACACTAAGCATTTATCAATAACATAATTTTTATAATTAATCATTCTTTTCTCTTGCTTGCTTTCTTCCTGATCAGATGAATAGTTATATAAATGAATAATTTTATTTTTCAGATGGTCAATTTTTGTCATTAAGTTGCAACCAACACTTGAAATTAGCAGCAAATAATGTAACTAATTTTAATTGACAGCACAGTTGAAGACGCTTTATTCATCATCTAGTCTTCTGTGACATTAATTTTGCAAAGAGTTTTTTTCTTTTGTGCAGGAAAGTCTATTTCTTAATGATCCTGATTTCTGCAGGCATTAATTAATATATTAATCATCCACCTTATTTATTACACACAGTAATCATTCATTAACATCAATTCATGATGAAATTATAATTGAAATACCTAATATGCAAAATGTTTACAACAATAATGCTATCTACATTTCAATCTGTTAACAGATTGAGGTCCAAACAATTGAAGAACCAGCTAGGCTTAGGCTGTCTGCTTCATAAATATAATTGTGGGGAATTGCATTTTACCTTACCAATACCTTATCAAATAATTTTTCATTAATTAGCTTGTAACTTCCAGAAACGAGACCTTTTCCATAGCAAAAGTTCAATGTGTCTATATGTCCAACCATTATTAATAATAGGTGAGGCAAAACCAAGTCTTGCCTTAATTGATCTAATTAATATATGGGTAGAGGTATATGGAAGGACTCAGCATAACAGATCATGACATTCAGACTGGTGAGTTTCATGAACTTTGCACTCAGATCTGTGGTGTATTCAGGAGAAGATGAAAACTGAGAGCTGTTTAGATAAACATTGTATTGAGAAGGTGGGGCCCGAAAAATCAGATGGAATTCTAAACACTACCTTGGAGAAAAGCTATTTTAGACAGACAGTGGTCAACGAATGTCCTCTGAAATTATTTCTATTAGTGCAGTGCACTTTCTCTGACCCAAAATCTTTCCTGTGAACATTTGAAATAGCTTAGCAATCTTTACAGATATTGAAGCAAAGGTGGAACAATTTAATAGGAGAAAGTAATGAAGTGGTTGTTAGAACAAACACCATACCTATCAAGTTATCTTGGCATGTGGACTCAGGGGAGGTCTCCTCTAAGATGCCTGGATTCACATTCTTTTTCTCAGGAGAGTTCGCAACCTGTAGTAATCATACAAGTAATCAGGATGCAAGTTTTGTAACATTTAAAGACAATAGCGTATTATTAGGTTAATAAACAAATAAGTGTAAACATCAATATTACTTTTAAACATTTTCTAAATCAAATGTCATAATAATAATCCTTGCATTGGGTTTAGCGCTTCATCATGTCTTCGAGTTGTCTCAAAGCGCTTCACAGAATATAATATAAAGTGAATTCACAGCAACTTACGACTAGGTAAACAGAGGTGTGTGGAATATAGGAAACTTGCCCAATGTTTCGCCCTGCCCAGGAATCGAACCCAGGTCCTCTTGCTTGCTTATTTCACCAACCCGTATTGATTACTGTTACTGCATTAAATACACAGTTTATTGTGCTTTATGTTGGAAAAGAGTACATTTGAAATACAATTTTTACAAAAGATATTTATCACGTAAATATCTCTCAAAGTGCTTGGCAAATAATTACTTCAGGGGTAGTTAGGTGTGTGTTAGGTACAAAATCCACCTGGGTCTCCATTTATGTAGCAGTACAAAGCCGCTGAAAGTTGGTAAATTGTTGCATTTAGTCTTAACTTTGAAGTTGGTATTCTGTAGTTCTTAAAAGAGCTTACACAAAGCCTTACAATAAAGGTTGTAGTTTAGAAGTTGCCAAATTTTCGTGGCTCTAAAATACTACATAAACAGAGTAAATCAGGTGGAGATTTTCCCCAAGCAGCAGCAATTTAATTCAGCACAGTCCCCAAAACAGCTGTGAGTTGAAAGGCCAATTAATGTGGAGGATTACTGGCCAGAACGAAAAATCCTTTAATAACCTGTTCAAAAAACTGAACCTACAACAATTTTAAGCCTATTAGTACTACACTGGAGTATTAGCCTAGACTATACATCAAATCCCACCTGTGTTCCATGCCTTGGGACTCCAGAGGGATAAAATTCTAGTCGGCATTTAGTCGGCATGAGTGATTATAATGAGGAAAATGCATTAGGAGCAGGAATTGAGAATGTTGCTGCACATACAGCTGTCTGGAATCTCATCCCTCTGGAATCTTCCAGGACTATCTGGAGTGTCAACCCAGACTACAAGTTCAAGTCTTGATATTCAGTGGGAACCCACATCCTTCTGACACAGAGCAGAGCATATTAATAATAATAATAATAATAATAATCCTTGCATTTGATATAGCGCTTTTCACGTGGGAGGACGTCCCAAAGCGCTTCACAGAACACACTGTAAAGTGAATTGACTGTATATTTATGGGTGAACGCGGCAGCCAATTGCGCACAGCAATGTCCCACAAACAGTCGTAGATTGAAAATGACCAATTTATTATTGTTTTTGGTTTTTGGAGGGATTATTATTAGGCGTGTGGAATAAGGAAACTTGCCCAAGGTTTCGCCCTGCCTGAAATTGAACTCAGGTCACTCGCTTACAAAGCGAGTGCTCTAACCACTGAGCTACAGGACTACCGACTGAGCAGTAGTAGACCCCAAAGAAAAGCATCTTATAAATTAATACTACCCAATTAATATTACACATATAACTTGTGCAATTTGGCACTAAAGATACTTTTATAGGCCCATTTACATCTGCCAGCAATGGCCACAAAGTCATAATTACTCTGTTTGTCCTATCAAAATTCTACGCTTGTTTGAACTATAAAAAACAAATCATAAAAGTTCAACAAGTCAAAAATAAATTGTCCAGGAAAAATACTTGAACATGAATGACATTTGAAAGCAAGGCTGATTTGGATTTAACAAAATACATACTGTTACTTATGCTTTGTAACAGTAAAATGTACTAAGCAACAAAGCAGAGATGCCAATAGTGCATTCAAAGCAGCTCTCAGAATATTACAACTTAACATTGAGAAAATATCTGGAGAAATAAGAGTTTTATATGCATGGTTTTATGGGAGGGTGATTGTATGTGACCAGTGGCAAATATCATTCAATGTGGACCAACACGTTGATGAGATTCAGAAAGGAGAATAGTGGGAAGATAAAATAAGTTGCATTAGCCTCCAGGTCACAACACTGGAGAGGGTTGGGGGGAATGTGTTTTTTTTGGGGGGTGGGGGGCAGGGGGAACCAAATGAATACATTGCTGAAAATATTCTGTGTGTGTGTGTGGCAACAGCAATGACAGCAAATGGGATCTTGGGGTAATTAACTAAGGGTATACTTAAGTCCTTGAGGGTACACCTTAATTCGCTGAAATTTAAACAGAATTTGGAGGGAGAACTGGGAGATCTTGAAGGAATCAAGATCCTGAATTGTGTAGATAAACTGAACTCTAATACTATGTTTAACATGGGCAAACTAGAATAAGACACAGACTCAAACTCAGAAGTAAACAGTTTAGGTTTAATTATTTTCAGAGTGGTAGATGTGTGGCACAGACTATCTGGAGAGGTGATGTAGGCAAATGTGGGTCAGGAAATTCAAGAGGAATTAGTTAGCTATTTTGCCAAAGAATTGAAAGGAAGAGTGGCGTTGGATTATTTATTATTATTGGAATCAATCACAGTTTGTCCCCGTCCCAGAGTTAAAGTCCAACTCATTGGAAATGCCACATATTTACTTATATTTGACAACGTATTATTAGGAAGTTGAAACAGTATTGCACAAAATCAAAATTTATTCCTGGACATTCTTAATATTATATTAGTTCTGCTGGATATCTGGGTCTGAATTGCTGAAACTCATGGATTACAGTTTCAAAGCTCCAGTGGCTTTGGTTCCTAAAAGGTTCAATTTATCGCGAGCTGTGTTTGCAAATTTCAGATAATGATTATACTTGCAATAAATTTTGAAATGAAAATGGAAAAATTAGTTTTAGGTGACTGGTTTGCAATATTAAAAACATGCACTTCAGCAATAGGTTTACACAGATGTAGACTACAACACCCACACCTCCTTCAGAATATTAGCTGTGGAGGTCATCAGTACAAACTAAAATGAATAAATATACTAAGTTTCTGTGCTGTGGTTTCACCTTCCTAACAGGGTACTGAGGCAAATTGGATGACTGTACTGTACTCATTGCTAAACATCACTTAAGCAAGATACCAGAGCAATAACAGTGGAAACTTATTCTAGTAGTTAAGCGCCTTCAGGATAGATTGGGAGAAAAGAAAATTGGAGGAAAACATAATCTAGATTGGCTATGCGACCTATCGAGACTCACCCAGTTTGGCTGTTTGTTAGTGAAGTAATATTTCCTCAATTCAAGTGTAACAATTGGAGCTCACCACATGCTCCAGAATCCAACACACAACCGTATCATAATGTTTATTGGACTTACCCTTCACCTATCTATCAACCATTACAAATTTAATCTCACATTTATCAAGTGTGTAGATAGATATCATACTGGTGAATAGACCTTATCTGTGTAGAGTTAGTCGATCAATATAGGCCTCACCACCTCGGTGATCCAATTCCTTCAAAAACTCAAATGTACCATTACATATATACAGACCTTTTTATTTTCTATGTGTTATATATTTTCTGCTTTCAGTGACAGACAGAAAACTGCATTTCTGCTCAGTGACATCACTGCAAATGGACAATGGACTGTTCCCAGTCTGTCAATGTGATAAGTTAGTCAATGTACAGGTATCTTCCTTTAAAACAGAGGCACCTTCCTTTAACACAGTTTCCTGATCCATTTTATGCACTCCTACTGGAACATGGTCTCATACCAGAAGCTTAGGACACCGGTTCGAAATTGGCAAATAGTGAAGCCATAAAAAGCCTGACATTTGGTATAGAACACAACACACAAAATGACCTTTTGCATGAGTGTGTCTTGCTTTCCCTTGTGCAACTTGGCGCTTTTATTCATTCTGAACTTCCACAGCAAGTGCAAACGTCAAACCCACACCACCAACAACAACTTGTATTTATATAGTGGTCTTCATGTGGGTCACACCTCGGAGCACTTGAACCACACAGACACAAAACATTTACACATATGCACAATTCAATTGGAAATTGGAAATGCCATTACTGACAGTAAAAGAAGCAGTTTCACTGGCAGAATACAACTCATCGAGTGGTTCAGTCAAGTAACAGAATTCCTTCAACTTGAGAGGAGAAACCGTACCCTTCACATCCCAGAGAAAAGCCACACTCAGCCAGTCCCCAGACTCAGTCTTATGCACTGACAGTATGACTATCAGCAAGAGAGATCAGAAAGGAGACCAGAAGATCAGAACAGAAAAGAATTTCAGATAACAGAAATTGACGAACAGTGAAGCGCAGAAAGTGGGTAATGATGAAAGGGGAGAGCGAAGGAGTAACAGAAGACCAACACATGATTGACAAGAAAAGAATTCAGGTCAAATGAAGCAGTCAGAAGGAACCCAGTAAGAAGGATAAGCAGTGTGTAAATCAAAAAGATGGGAATGTAATGATCAAAATAGTTGGTAAGAAGCACATTAACCATGCTGTTGAGCTAAAAAAAAATCAATAGACAGCATCAGGTAGTTCCCAAATGGCAGACTGTGATATGGAACTGAACAGAAAAGCCATTTTATCCAGATATGCATGTTGCAGGCTCCAGGGGTATCCGATTCAGGCTTTGGTAAGATTAATGATTGAGATGGGAAGATTTTGAGTGAATATAATTAAGAAATCACTATGAAAGGACTGTATTAATCCAGTAGTCTTAGTCAGATTCTTTACGTTGTATTCATGATTTTGCAATGTTCATCAATTGTTAATTCAAGATACCCTGCTTGGTATTTAATTGCTTCATTGTCCTTCAAAGGTTTCCTACCCAGAAACAAGTAAGAATCATTTACTCCTAAGTACTATCTCCTGGACCAGTTATTATTATAGGAAAATTAAACTCATATGCATCCAGACCAGCAAGAAGTTATTTGCTTTACTAGAAAATTATGTTTGCTTATGACAAATTGATTGTATGCAAACTATAAAAAATGATTAATAACTTTCAAATCTCAATATTTGCTATGGCATTCTGTAATACAACAACAACCCTCCAAACATATAAAAGGCTGAATCACACAAAAAACATTCAAGATGTAAAGCTTCATTCCATGATAGTAAAGTATTTCAGAAAGCTGATTCTGTAGCATAGTGACTGAAACCAAGTCACTGAGAATGGATTCTGGAGATGAAGGTGGCGTTCTGACACAAGTCAGAATTAATTATTCTTAACTGTTCTCATTTACATAATTCAGACAGTGTTCGAACACCTTTTGCATCATAATTTTAGGCTAAATACAGCAAAGTGAGAAATAATTATACATCTTAATACTAAAAAAATGCATTTTTTTACATAATAAAAACATTACATAATACTATCTCAGGTGCAGTAAGTAGAATATTATACATATTTATAAAAATAAATCATCTCGCAAATTTCAGCATCTTTTGCAGTCATGTTTATAAAAACTGTGCTTTAATCTGTCGGGAGAGCATTAAATGAAGCGTGGTTGAATTGAATGACTGATAAGGGGTTATACTTTACTATCAAAGTTCCAGATCACAAGGATTGAATTTCCTGCATGTTGCACATTTCCAGACTTTCAATTCACTCTCCTCTCTCTGACAGTACAAGGTCAGTTTTAGATATGCTTGTGTTGTGTGTCCTAGTACACTGGCGTAATAATGCAAAGCACATCTGCAATGACCAGCCAGCCAGTCAATTAATCTAAGGACACAGAGCTCTTTTTGAACCCACTTGTATTTCACAAATTAAATGCTTCTTTAATAATTCTGAGTTCATATAGATACTAAGTTAACGTTATTTGGATGATAGAGCTTAGTTGAACAACAAATTGTATAAACATTGCATATTTTAAAATTTACATTCTGAAGGATTTTGACATCAGGTTTTATTTATATAAATGATTAAAAGAAACCACATGTTATTTGGAAAAAAATGTTGCTAATTATTTTTAGGCTCTCAGAGTTTCAAATACCAGAGTAGACGAGTGAGAGTTGGCGAGTTATATATCCAAAGACCTTATCCAGAAGCCATTTTACCTAGAGCTAGGAAGTTTGAGAGCGTAGTATGCATTGCCTTACCCTTAGACTTTTCCTCCCTCTTTCCTGGAAATGGCTTGCTGTTTTTTTTAGGATGTCACAGCAGATATTAATGCCCCATTTATTGCTGGAAGCAATATGATATCACTTTCAGAAATAAAGTGATTAGGAGCATAAAACAGCATTCAGATTTCATGCTCAAAAAATGCTTTCACAGGAGTTGACGGTGCATTGGGCCTGCCCAGAACAGCTCTAACTGGCACCGAATGCTGATTATTTTTCCAATGTTATTTACAATTTTTCAATCCACTGTTCAAGAACTTTTAAGTATCCATTTTAGAAGTAATCTTGAGCAGAGATTGAAGTGATTTGAACCTTTGTATTTATACTGTACTTTACTGGCTCCTCTAGTTAGGTCAGTACGCTAGTCACCCCGCGGCCTGAATTATTTGTGCTTGTACAGCCCCAGCAGAAATTATTCTATTTCAATATCGATTAGCTCTCTTTTTACATTGGATGAACAATAAAAGCAGGAGCAATAAAAGGGCATGGGTCCCACCATGTGAAGCGATACATTTCGAAACACGTGAAATAAAGGTAAATTGTCAATGGCGAGCTTACTCTAATGAAAAAAATAAAGGTTAACGAGTAGGTTTTAGGTAAATTTAGACCTCTGTAGTTTTGTGTTCTTAAATATTTTATACATTTAACCTCTGAGAAGATAGTGCCAAACTACACTAATATGGCAGCATAAATACAATTTTTACCTTCTGTTTCCCCTGACTCTCATTATTTAAGACATGCCAATTAGAAAGTTTCCCTGGAGAAGAATCAGGCAGCTTCCAAAGTCCAACATAACCTTTACGAGGATTTGAATCAGCTTCAGCCTCAGAATCAATTAGCAACTCCTTCTGCAATTACAAGCATTCACATTGTGTTACTATTAAGAACAAAAAGTGAGAAAAACACATCTGAATGATTAGTTAAAATAACATTTGCAGCGATTGAGTCATTGCATGCAGTGTCATCAGAAGTTTTTTAAAGAATTGTTTCTATTTTGGATATTAACTTAATAACCTTGGAGGGCAATAGGGGAGATAATAAAACTCGCAAACATCTTGTCCTAACATTTGAAACCTGATCTATCTAACCTGTACTTGTATATTGGTCATCTTTATATAGATTTTAAGCACTCGGTCAAACAGAAACTTTTTTATGTATATATATATAAAAAATGTGGTATAAATTTCCAAGTATTTATTAAATATTAATTTGTTCCATAAATGCTTTATAGTAAGATTATTTACACTGCTTTTTCATTTCTTAGAATATATGGATTTATTTTAAATCCAAGCACTTACATGGATTTCGTTTTGAATCTCTGTGTCTGCCTTTACTTTGCAATTCTTCTTATAGTTTCCTTGAATGCTGATAGAGTTGCTGGGAAATGCAGAGCTATGGGAGTTGCCCTTAGGCATGTTCCTGCAGGAAACATGATTTGATCCATTTTCCATCTGATGAGCAGCCTTCTTATCAACTCTGCAGGTAAAAGTGGTTTAGTTGATGAATTACACCATCCTTCTTCAATCAGTCTATTGCTCATTCTCCTTTAATGTTGAAAGTAACCCTGTTGTATCTTTCTGTCTCCAGACCTTCAAATGATAAATGTTTCTGACACAGTCATGATAAAATCTGTCTGTTACAATTTGAGTTAGAATATTCCCATATGTTTTGGGGCATTTTTTTTGTGTATAGTGAGATTTATTGATTAAGACAAATTATTAAAAATGATTTAGAAGTCCCTTGATATTATAATCAACAAGCCACTGAAATATTTTTCTTTAAAAAGAACTCTTTAAATAGGGCCAAATACAACCCGAATAATTTTATCAATCTCTCGCCATGACATTTCCATTTTTGTCTTTAGCTTTCACATTCATAAGTTAACGTGTGGCTGACTGACAACTGACTTTTCCATTTTCAGATTTCATCATCCATATAAGAATCTATCCAAACAATCACAATCCCCGATACACAAAGAGCAGTTAGTCAATTATGAAATAACATTAATGAGTAGAAAACAATGAGGTGCATCAGAACCCAATAGGTTTTTTAAAAAAAATTTTTTATTGATATTTTACATTTTCAACTATTATTTAGGTAATAATAATCCTGGCATTCGATATATCACCTTATCATATCTTCCAAACATCCCAAATTGCTTCACAGAATATACTGTAAAGTGAATTGACTATATTTTGTGGGCGAAACTCGGCAGCCAATTGCACACAGCAATGTCCCACAAACAGTCGTAGATTGAATGATCAAGTTGTCATTATTATTGTTTTATAAGGAATTATTACACCCAGAAAAGCGATCCACCAATGACTAATAACCAGCTTCCTATTTACTGCTAGGTAAACAGAGTCATGTGGAGTAAGCAAACCTGTCCAACATTTTGCCCTGCCAGGACCGAAACCCAGGTCTCTCGCTTGTGGAGCGAGTGCTCTAATCACTGAGCTATAGGACTCCAGAATAATAACTGAAAGGGAATGTTTTCTGTTTGTCTTAGCATTGGGGAAATCAAATATCTTCAACAAAGCTTTGAATGTAAGAACTTATGCCAGATAGCTACGTTTGACTGGCTACCTTTGACTGAACTATCGGCTAGAAATTAGTTAATTTATTTTTCTTAATTTTCTTTACATGTTTGTAATCTGGGGTTGCTTCTGATTTCTTGATTTCATAAGATCTTCAATATAAAACAGTAAAAGAAAACAAACTTTACCCTTATATCTTGTCAATATTTGATTTCCCTGATGCTAAGGCAAACAGAAACAAGTAATAATTAATGTGCAGAGTCACTTGTGGTTGTGAATTGCTGCTGGAAATATTATCGATAGTGATTATTAAAGTTATAGGATCCCACTTATTTTATTCTCCTCATGTATATGGAAGAATTGGGGGAAAATATCACATTTTAGAATGTTTTCCAAGCACCATCCATTATCAAAGTAGCTTTTTCAATGGGGATTATTTTAAGGAATGTGTTCTTTATGTATTCTCACTGGCAATTTCTGCTCTTGCCTGAGGTTATGGCTGTGTGATTTGGAGTAACTCAGGGATAAAGGGTCACCGATGCAGGTATAAAAAATGTATATTGTTTGAATTGAACTCTGCTATGAAAGCTGGCATTCTTTCATAATGCATCAGGCTAGTGGATTCGGTTTTAACCTTTCCCCCTTGTTTTAAAAATAAAGAATTTGGTAAAAACTCTGGGGCATTTGATTTTTTATATTCCAATTTGATGAATGAATCTGAGAGATCCTTAAATGTAAATTAGTGATGACCTCTTCAATGGATAGAATAATTAAATATAGAATTAATTATTTGAAGTGTAACCCCAAATATTTCATTTGTAAGTGTAAGAATATCTAATGAGTTAAGGTTAGCTGTTGTTAAATAAAATTGCATTATTCCATATTATTNAAAAATGTTGCAGCAGCAAGGATCCAGTGAAAATTTGTTATATTGCTGTGGTTACATTNAAAAAATGGCCACTTTCTGGATTAAAACTCTACTGATGTCGCTTTCTGTGCCAAAGATGTCAAAGTAACATAAACGTCACTTCCTGTATATATGCAGTGTACAGGAATGGAGTCGGCAGTGACCTGACAAATCTGGAAGGTGGCCATTTTACCCGTGTGAAGAGGTGGCATTTTTAGTAACCCAAGAACCTTAGGATTCCTGCATTATGCTCATGCTCCAGTGATCCACTTAATAAAGCCCTCTATTAGGCACTGAAATAACCGTCTATGCCAATATAACTCAATACGTTACCTGAATAGAAGCTCCTGCATGAACTGGTCCTTTGTTACGCCATTCTCATCCTTGTAGACTTGATGTTTTGATCCAAGACTTGATTGTCTGCTGTAGGTCACCTCGTGTGGAATGATCTCACCACAATTAGTTGGAAAATCACTTTCTACTTTCCTATCACATTTCTCAGTTTCCTTTTTAAGCTCAATCTCTCTTTCACAGTCCTTCTCACATTTCCTTTTCTCCTTTTTTTTGTCTAGTTTTGTGGGCTTGATTCCTAACCCAGATCCACTTTTGGTTTCTTTCTTTTCATCCTTTGATTTTGAAGTATCTGACTTTTTACTGTTCAGAGTTGGCAGCTTGCTCTTTCGGAAGCCAAACCAATTGGCTATTGAGGGGACAGTCTTTTGTTTTATCTCTGATATCTGAGATTTCTCCTGCCCTTGCACCTTCTGCATGTTTTCCTGAATCCCCATCATGACTTTCTCCTCAATGCTTGGCTGTGCCACAGAAACAGCAGGGTTGCCTACCTTGTTAGAAACATCAGACCTCTTTAAAGGATTCTCCTGTTTCTTTACACCTTTCACCACATCAGGTTTGGAGGGACCCTGTAATTTGCTTAGGCTTTCCACAGAAGTCATATTTGGTGACGATTGAGACTCGCACCTAGTCTGCATTATGTTTTTCCCTTTCTGAGGCAGCTGTTTTGACTTTTTGTCACTCAATCTGTCAGTTAGAGGTAGGCTGCGGGTTTCTTTTTGAGGCGGCGACTGGTTGCCTTCAAACTTTGAAGAACTTTGAAGAACTTCTCCTTTTGGTGGAGTTCTACAGGGTAATTTACTAGGACTGCCAGGATGACTACTTGAGCTACTCATACTTCCATGCGAGGCTTGGCGTGAATAGCCAGTGTCTGCAATTTTTGAAGAATGTGATGGACTTTGAGTAGCTGAAGAACCACTCACAGGTTTAAGTTGTGACCCTTCCCCCGCACTGTTGGAGTTTGGTCTGGTTAGCGAATTACCTCTTTCGGTTGTGTTGGTAATAATTTGGGTTCGCACCTTTCCCGGGCCATCTACCACCGAGACAGCGGACTTCTCACCAGACTGATTACTGAAGCTCTGACTTCGAGCTTTGGCACCATTCATGCCCAGGGCAGGTTTCAGGTAAGGCTTGTTATTAGCTGAAATTGACCTCTTAAAAGCTTTGACTTCTGACCCATCCAAGTCTTTCTCATCTGCTGTGCTCATGCAATGCTTCATTTCATCTTCTAGTTCTGCTGGCAAAGTTACAGGAACACTTACATAATCTTGGAGGCACCCTTTTTTCCCAGGATCAGATATTGGCTCTGGTAGTTCTAGATGTTTGATGTTTTCTGATGCATCAACCCTTTTAGATTTTTCTTGAGCTACATTTGCTTTAGACGAGATATTAATACTGTCTTTCTCATTTTTTCCTGGTATGGTTGAACTTTTCCTCAGTATTGGGGGAGATTTTACAAGACCTTTCAGCCCAACAGGAATACGCGTTTTCAGGCTCTTTTCTTCAGGACAGGGAAAGCTAATTGCATTTCCAGCACTGGTACTCGATATAGGCAGGCTGGAGTGATGAGACTGAAGTGAAGATTCATTCATGTTTTGTGTATGGCTTTGTGAAGACAGTGGTAAATTATTACAAGGTTTGTGCTGCGATGCCAATGCATTTTCACATAATTGTCCGGTTTTGGCAAAAGATGTATTGTGTGGAGGTGAGTCTTTTTGGTTTGAAGAAATACACGTTGAACTTTTAATCATTTTAACAGATGTTTGAGAACAAGGCTGACCATGCGATGGTGGAGAAGGACTTGAACAGTCCATTTTGAGATGATCTTTGTCGGCGGAACCATTCAACACATCCTGTGAAACTCTGGATGAGTCCCGAGGCTGCTGTAATGAATCAATTGGTTGCAGTGAAGTTTGACACTGGTGAGAGTCACCGGAATCAAACTCAGCTACATGTTTGTGGAATTGCTGGCTTTGTATTTCTGGTGCAAGCTGGAAGCAAGATGAAACAGTGCTTGTAACTCCTTGTGGTTTTAACGATGAAGATAAAAATGCTTCCGTAATTTCAACTGGAATCGGAGACCCAGTCTTTACTACTACATGTGGAGAATGTTCATAACTTGGTCTTATTAGCAATGAAGTAGATCTGCCTGGTGGAGGTGGAGGTGAAGGGGAATTGACATCTTCTTGTTCTGAATTATCATGTTTGTCTCGTGTAGGAGGGTCTCTGTGATCTGTTACCTGCCGCCTGGACAATAAAGAAGATCCTTGAACAGTACTGGCTTGACTCTTTCCCACATCGTTTTTCAACATGATTTTAGAGTTCCGAAGAAGTTGTGGGCTAAATTTTGGAATGGCGGAATCACTTTTCACACCTTGGTTACTATTAGTACTCGACATCTTTAAAAACTTGGAAAGTTTGACAGGTGAGGATGATAATGGTGACTTTTCTTGGACCAGAGGACCGGATGATAAATATGTATTGTCGCTGATGTTTACTTTAGAGGTTTTCTGCGGTGAGCTTTTGCCTCTGTTGGGAATTTTGGTAAACTGTGGCTTTTGAGGAGCATATGTCTGCTGTGAAGATACACAGCTTGTTTTATAAGCTGCATTATAAGTTGGCTTCATTAATTTTTGTTGCTGAGGAACATGCAGCAACAATGGTCTATCAGAGTTCACAGAGTCATTATTCACAGTGTTTTTGTTAATTGCACAGTCTTCTGAAGGTTTTTGTTCTGAATGGCATTCCAGTGATTCTAGAACTGTGTAATTTCTTGCATCATTTCCTTTTTGACAACATATAAGACCTCGAATTTCCAGCTCTGTAGTAGGCATACCTGAAGGAACTGAGTCAGAGGTTTCATTTAATGCAACAGATGCATTGTCTGTCTGCTGGGAATTGAAATTAATTGGTTGGCCATCTTCAGCATCAAACACTACTGTAATACATTCCTCCAATGATGGTTTTACAATATTGTTTGCTTGACAATTTTGTTTTTTCAAATTAAAAGTCTTTGGCTTTTTGTCAGAGCATGGTGAAAGATGGTCTTCATCCTTATCTGCAGATGACAAAAATGTTTTCTTACAATTAAGGAGGCTTGGATGACTTATTGATGACTGTTTGTCAGTCAGCAAATCTGTTCTGAAATCAGAAGAATCTATTTCTTCATTACCTTCTACTTGCAGCTCATCTAGAACCTCCATATCCTCTGTGTCAGATAGCCGGAGAGTTACATCTTTGTAATCTACTTTACTTGAACTGTACTCTAATTTCTTTGCAGGTGATTTATCGCCAATACATAGTTTTCCACTCAATTCCATGTTGCCAATAAAACTGGTCAGTTTTTCAGGCTTTTCCCTTGAGCTCAGATGCGTATTCCTTCCAGATACATATTTTTCATTGTGATCCGATCCGAAAAGACTATCAGAAATGCTATGCTTCAGCTTTGTACAGAATGATCTGCAGTCTTTGCTAGGCACCTCATTTACTGCAGTAATGATGGCTGTGCAGTCATCATCTACATCATCATGTGAATCAGAGTCATATTCAAAGATTTTGTTATTTTCCAAACACATGCCTACATCAATAGTCTTAAATGGTAGTTGATCTTTAATCCTGCTATGGCCACTATACTTTAATCCAAGAGAGTAAATTCCTTCATTGGAGTTCATGCAGTCTTTGTAAGCCCATTTTGATGATAGATTTGGTGGCTCCAATAATGGTTTTCTCTTTTGCAGTCTCTTTAGTCCTTCTAAGATGTGACTTTCTTTTTCTCGGGTCGGAGGTAGTTCTTCTGAGGGACTGGAGAGGTTGCTAGGAAGTGAAGAGCCAATACTTACTCTCTTTTCCCAGTTTATAGAAGACTAAAATAGGAAAGCTCAATGTTAGCAATTCAAACTGAAGGATAGCTACATAATGCTCATATAAAAAATATTACACAGTATTTGATACTGAGATAGAAACTTGCTAAATTGTAATCTGTTTTATTAAGATACAATACATGTAAGAGGTGTCCAACAAAATTTTGCAAAGCCAATTTTCAGCTAAAGGACAAAAAATATTTCCAACTCCAAAAGTGTATGTAGGAGTTGAAGGGGAGAAGGAGAGAGTAAAAAAAAAACTACAAGTTTTAAAAGCTGGAAATGTTTTTACTTCTAAGTAGAAATAAGTAGAAAGGGAAAGAAAATGATTTCAAAATATTTTAGTGTCTAGGTTAATGAATTCATTAATAAAACTGTCCTAACACGAGTCGTTTCACTACCATAATATTATCCAATACCATTAGCTCACCAATCTCGTAAATCATAGACGACATTAAAGAACTATTTGGTAACATGCAGCTATTTATTTGAAAATCATGGATCAGAATTTTTTTTGGGTGGCATGTTAAATATGAACCACCAAAAAGATATCATCTGTTAACTTGATCTTGTCACATGTTGGATAACTGTTTTCAAATAACTATAATTGACTATTTATATTAATTTTTAGTATCATATGTGATCTGAAAACATACAAAACTGGAGTATCCATAGACCTAAGATGAAGATATAAATATTGAAAACAGCAAATATAATAATAGGTTGGTAATTCATATTTTAGTACAGTAGTCAAAATATTGCTCCAGGTATAAGATCATATTTAGGATTATGTATTAAAACATAAGCATTTTCTAAGCTTCCAAATATCAAATCTTGGGAAACATACGCTTAATTTTACCACTTAGGGTGGAAACTGTTAAGCATGTAAAATGAAAGGCATGATTTATCCTCAAATCAATTGACTCTCTTGGCAAGCATACCTCAAAATACTTTTAGGGTGCACAATTTCATTTCAATTCAATAACATAGTATGGATGGATCACTGGTGATCACGTATCTAAAATTCCAAAGGACCTTGGAGCATTGGATAAGTTATTGATGGAGGGCGAGATCAAGGTCTTTAAAATGATGACAGGAAGAAATGATGTAGATATAAGAAAGCTATTGTATTTAGCTCAGACCTTGATAGTATAGATGTTGTGTGGCTGTGGAAGGTGCAAACCTGATGGATAAAAGGTTTTTTGTTTGATGCTTTCTATTTTTAATGCAGTTATTTTTAATGTTTATATTTTTAATATATTTTCTGCTCTCAATGCTGTGCACTCAAAGCCAAATATAGTACTTTGATGAGAGCAAAGCCCTACCAAAAACAACAAACTGATCGGAGCTGGGGGTTGGGGGTTGGGATCGGGGGGAAGGGTGGAGGGTACAGAGAGTAGGAGTAGGAGCATAGCCGCAGACGCGGTCAAAGAGGAGGGTCTTGAGACGTACCTTGAAGGGAGGCAAGGGAGGGAGCAAGGCGAAGGAACTGTGGTGTTACAGAGGGTTGGGGCAGAGAAGCTGAAGGCCTGACCGCCGATGGTGGGGCGGGCCTGGAGGAGCACATGAAGCACCTGAGCCTGCTGAGCAGAGGGAGCAGACAGGTTGATGGTCACGGAGGTAGGAAGGAGCAAGATCATGGAGGGCTTTGAAGGCGAGGACAGTTGAGGGTCAAACAAGACGCTCGGTGAGGTGGTGTGTGCATCCCTGGATAGTAATGCTGCCAGTGTCTGAGGTGTGGAGGCGCTGATGGGACCGAATCAGGAAGGCCTCGGTCTTGTTGACGTTCAACTGGAGAAAGTTAGCACTCATCCAGGACTTGATGTCTGACAGACATCAATTTTACATGTTTAACAGTTTCCATCCTTAGTTGTAAAATTAAGTCGCGGGGGGAAGCAGAGAGATAGAGTTGGGTGTCATTCGCATACATGTGGAAGTTGATCCCATATCTGCGGATGATGTCATCAAGATGGAGCATGTAGATGTTGAAGAGGAGGGGACCATGGACAGTGCCCTGAGGAACGCCATATGAGATGGTGCGGGGGCTGCAGGAGAAGTCGTTTGTGGAGACAAAGTGGAGATGCTGTGAGAGGTAGAATCTGAACCAGTCAAGGATAGAACCATGAAGGTGAAGTGAGAGGAGAGGTGGTGGAGGAGGATAGAGTGGTCAACGGTGTCAATGGCAGCAGAGAGGTCAAGGAGACAGAGGGAGCCCTGGTAACAGATAGACAAAATGTAATTTGTCACTTTGACCAAAGCAACTTCTGTGCTGTATGGAAACTCGATTGGAGAGGTTCGTGAAGGAGTGGCGAGAGAGGAAGGAGAAAAGCTGGGAAGCAATGACTCATTCCAGGACCTTGGAAAGGAAAGGGAGGTTGGAGATGAGGCACCGGTTAGAGAGCAAGGATGGGTCCAGGGAAGGTTTTTTGAGGATAGGGGTGATGACGGCTGTTTTTAAGGTGGTGGGAACAGTGCCAGTTGACAAGGAGAGATTGATGATGTCTGTAAGTAGAGGGTCAAGGAGGTGGAGCTGGGAAGTAAGGAGAGGGGTAAGGATGCGGGTCGAGGGAGCTGGAGGTCAGTTTCATATGGATTATGATGGTGGTGAGAGAAGAGGGGGAGACAAGGTTGAAGTTGTAGAGGGAGGGATGGGAGCAGCAGTTGGAAGGGCAGAGGTGGCTGAACGAATCCCCTCGATTTTGGTCTTAAGGAAGACCAGCAACTCCTCGCAGTTGGAGTTGGAGGAGGGGATGAACGAAGGGTGAGCAGGAGGATGGAGGAGCCAGTTGGTAGTGGAGAAGAGGGGCCTGGGGTTGTCTGTGACCTCCAAGATTATCTTGGAGGAGAAGGACAATTTTGTGGAGGCGATGCATTCCCCTGCACACATCAAGGGAAGGGGGGAATGCAATATAAACTCATTTTGTAGTTTTAAAACAATAGCAAAAACTGTTGTTCATTGATCTAAATTGCATTCATTTTCTTGTACAATAGTGATGATCTCACCAATCCCATTTAATTTTTTACATGATATAAGCAATTGAAGCGCAAAGGAGAAAACAAAAGTTTTCTAGCCAGGGGAGAAGATGCATTTTACTGCCCTTCACACTATCATTATATGTCAATGGCAACATATACAGGGTAGAAATAGATTTTTATACTGCAATTTATTGATAAGAGGCTTGCTTAGTTGTTTTAAACTTGTTAAATTGCTACTCGTTCTGATCCATACGAACTGACTTATAAAATATCCGTATAATTCTTTATATGAATTACCGTTATCAAACCAAATGAATCACACTATTCTTGAAACACACTTGTCAAATTAACTTAATTTAATAAGACTCAAACTGTACCCTTTTACTGCATGTCTTTCCATCATTCCAAGTAAAGGAACCACTTGAAAGTTCACTGCAGGCACTTGAAAGCGAGAGTTCACTGCTGCTACAGCTGCTCCTGGGATAAAGTTGGCTAGGTACTGTCAAGTTTAATTGACTGTGACATTTTAGAACATTTATACTGGATTGTGGGTTCTGCTGAGGCTCCTGTTAACAGAAAAATGATATCAGAAAAATCACACACTTGAATTGACCATTCCCCATTCATATTCAATCAGAAAAACAACAAGAAGAACAAATTACATTTGTATAGCGCCTTTCACATCAGGAGGACGTCCCAAGACGCTGGACAGTGCAAGATTTGGAATAGAGATTGGAGTTGGGATCAGGAGTGGTGGTGGGCAGGGAGAAGAGGAGGGTTTTTGAGATGGGCCTTGAAGGAGGCAAGAGAGGCAGAAAGGTGAAGGGAATGTGTGATCAAGTTCCAGATGGTGGGGGCAGAGAGGCTGAGGGCCCGACCGCCGGCGGTGGGGCGGGCAGGGTGGGAGATATTGAGGAGGCCGGAGTTCACTGAATGGAGGGAGTGGACTGGTCGGTACGGAGTTAGCGGATCACAGAAGTAGGGTGGAGCAAGGCCATGAAGGGCTTTGAAAGCGGGTTGAGGATTTTGAACTGTATCCTCTGGGGATTCGGAGCCAGTGGACACATTCTGGCCGTGGACATATTTTTAATACACCGCTTTGATATAATGTGGATGTTTATGCCATCTTCCATTGCAAAATAAATCCTGTCCTATCCTTTATGACCACATGTCTTCATTTTCATTTAGGAGAAGAGATAAAATAAATGAGTCTTTCAATCCTTCTTTATGTAGGATTCTGTAATTAATGTGTTAAGTAATACCTCAAATTATATTTGTGATGTTTATATATATTTGAAACATGATCAATCCCATGCGAGGGGAGTTAGTTGTGACTAGCTTCGAAGAAGATCCTTGCTCAAGGTGGAGAAACAAAAAATTATTTATAGACAACAAATTGTTTTCATTCCTTATCAGTCATTTTTTCATGGAATACGGTCTGCAGCTGGAGAGAACTATATGGCATTTGGTTTTACAAAGGAACCATCTTGCAAAAACAATAAGTGAAAGGTCACCTAATCAACAGTATAAACAGAGATCGATTCGAAAGAGAGAGGGAGAAGGAAGAAATTGGAACTTGGGATTCGCAAACTATATTCCAGCTTCTAAAGAAGGAAGTTCAAGACTATGATTTAAACAACAATAAACGTACAATAATACTTGGATACTTTTGGATGATATCGAACTGGAAACCATACAACAATACTTGGATACCTTTTGAGGACTTAAATGGGACATTTGCTCTCCCACAGCATTTGGTTTGGGCAACTTAAATCATTGTTAGCTACATTATACCTGGATACATGAGCATAATTAGATGTATTCTTTTAATTATTTATAACCATTATTAATCTGAATTAATAAACCTTGATTAATTGTACGATATTTGTGTCAGTCCTTACTTCACTGCAGGGTCACAAATTTAAATTAACCCTCACACTTATTTTTGAAAACACAAAGCAGCCACATCATGTTTCAAGATCCAATATGACTGTGAATCATAGTCTTATATCCCTAAGTCATATCCCTATATACGCTGTTGAAATAAGATCAGACCGTTTTAGCGAGTATACTGGAGTTGGATGGAACAACTTATAGCTCCAGAATTGCAGGTTTAGTTGCCCGTGGTGGTAAATTTCCATGTCAGTGAATCAGCAGTGCTCCCAGTCCTCCCTGGAAACATCAGACCCCAGTCAAGGAAGATTAATTCTTTGAAATCACGTTCACGTGTTTGGTTTTAATAATAGATTTTGTGTAATTAGTGGGCAAGTAGCTGCATTTATTGCATTTTCAGTCTTTTTGTTGGCTGGCAGTAGATGTCATGATAGCTACCAATGCTCCATACACTGCATGTAATGATGTAATCACTACAAGTTTGTCAGCCTTTTCTGGTAACCTATTCCAGTCCTTAATTACCCCTTCGCGTAAAGAAATACTTCCTGGTCTCTATCCTGAAATTACTCTATGCAATTCCAAACCATTTTTGTTTTTACTCTTGTTTTACTGCCTGAGTGCTTTCGAAAGGAATCAAACAATGTATAAAAGGATATTCACACATTATTTAAAGATTTCAACATGCATGATTTTAATATTAATTTAAAAATCGCAAACCCTATATGACAAAACTACAGTATTTCCAGGGATGTTAGAATTCGTACACAAAGTGATACTCCGTGAAAGAATGGCCAGCTACAGGATTAGTTTTCTAAGTTATCACAAGACTATAAAACTACCATCAACAGATTAAATACATTAAATACTAACACCAAAATAAGGAAAGCGATTTTCCCTAAGACGTTTAATTTTAGATTTTGCTATCTGGTTAAATTTTTAGCAAAAATATTTTTCTCTCTGCAATATTGCATTTTTCTTCATGCTGCACTTGTCAACAACCGCAGGTCCCAGTTATTGTATTTATTGACAGTTTACATTTGATTCAGTAATGGGAAGCCTATCACCACATATCGAATGTGATTTCACTTGGCTGTGACTAGAAAACAGCTCCAAGGAAGAGACTAATTAAGTTTAGATCACACTTTTTGAATAATAAAATACTCTTTGGTGTGCGCGTATGGAAGCATCGGTTGCTGCATTTGATTTTCTTTGCCACTTTGTATAAATTAATTTGCCAGGTGCATAGTTAGACACAACCATTTCTAAATTTAGCATTTCCATGCTTTACTGAAGTTCAACAAATAATTATTCTCTGTAGATATTTTCTGTTAACTAAATAATGCAATTGTAAGATTGCAGCCAATCAAATGGAAAAAGGAGGGTTCAAAGAAAACATGAATACTTTTTTTTGATTATCAGTTCCTGAAGCTATTAATAAATCACTTGAATTTTTTTTATGAAAACAGCTGAGAATAAATATGATGTGATGTAAGGTACTGAGCGTTGGCCAGCAGATATCTGCTAGTCCTACTTGATCAATTCATTTTAATCACAATTTTTTGCCTTGCTTAATTGTTAAAAATTCAATTTGTTGCTCTGAAAGATTATACCTACAATTATTTTAATTACACATTGTTGTGTAATAGAATTTAAATATTTTGATCATAACTATTAATACTCTCAAAGGATATGAGATCCGACTGATAAATATGTGAATGTTTGACAACCAATTACTATTTTAAGTGCGCAGCTTATAAATTGGAATCACTCACTGGATCCACTGGATCACTCACTGGAATCACTCACTCACATTGCTGCAAATTGATTGATTTAAATTTATTTTTATAATAGTACCCTTTAAAGGTAGAGATGAAAGCCACAGTCTGTACTGACAAATGTCACCTCACATGCTTATTACAAACCCTTCTTCCCGAAAACTGCAGAGCACATGAATTTTTAAAAGTTCATACATAATATATCATAAATATAAGATGAGTAATGTGGTATGTGGACTTTAATAAAAAGCTCTTTTCCATTTCTCAGAGAGGTTAGATGTAATCAATACTAAAAAACAGTGTCTCAGGGAAATGACGGAGATTTATTCCTTTCAGTACAGTGTGACACTTTCTGGTTACCCTATCAGCTGAGGACAAGATATTGAATTTCTGAGGACATTTTTCGAATGGTAAATGGGTGAATACTTTTTTATCCACTCTACTAATGTTTTTGAGGATGGGCATTATTTTTCATCTATGACACAAGGGTTTTTATATATAAAAAAAGTTTGTTCTCATGAAGAAAAAACATTTAGGAAGGAAGTGAGGACCCACCTGAATTTGAGCCTCTGTAGTTCTTGACTGGATTGGGCTTTTATTCCTCTCTACATCAGGGAACAGGTCCCCAGATGAAAGATCTACAATTCGTGAGTGAAGCCTCTGTAAAATAATTGATGAAGGATTTACCAAAGGAAAGAAAAAGCAGTAAAGTTGCTCATCTGGCTTAAAACCTAATACCATCTGTGTTTAAAACCCACGCTGTTCAGTTCAATCTCAGTTCCTCAATTTTCACGCATGTATCAAAAAGTGAAATAATAATTTTATTAAACAAGTTACTGAATGTGTTCCTGATTTTTTGTTTTAGTTATGCCATCCTGTTTGAACTATTAAGCCCATTTTATAGGAAGATGTGATGCAAACTATTGGTCTAAAACTGCAGATTCGATAAATATTTAAATAAGTGATTATTCTGTGCAAAAAGGTCAAAGTAAAACATGACACAAGGCTTGGTCAACTATTATGGCATTGCTTTTTTGAAGATGATTATACGAACACCTGGTTAAATGGTATTAAAGGCAACACATCCTTTTGAATGTCTGATATTTTAGGGAGATTGATCTTGTTAGTTTTATATAAGAGCCATCTCTCAAGATAGTAACAGAACCAAAACTCATAATTTGAGTGGTGAATAAAACAGGTATTTTATGCTGCACTTTTGACATTAATCCAGAGTGTAAATAGTTTTGAATCATTACATTTCTGCAGGTTTCTGCAAATGACTATCGAAGAATTTATACTGCTGGAATCATTTCAATTTGTCGACACCTGTGAAAGAAACACTTATCCCTGGATAAAAACAGCATTTATATTTCCTGCTCACTGTATGTCAGGTGATAAGGAGAGTTTAAATTGCACATGAGTAGAGCTCCACTAATGGACACCAAACACTGCTTAACTTTTTAAATTCTTATTAAAGGGTTGTTTAACTCGCTCCTTAATAACATTATGAAGGTTAAAGAATAGAATGCCCAATAACTTTTAACCTTACATTTTTATTGCAACTAAATTATCATTCAGCTTCCTGAAACCACCGTGATAAGTTTCTGGAGAAAGACTAAATCAAAATGACTGCCATTAATAACTATTTATGCAGCACATTTACCATTTATTCAATGTGGAAACTGCATTGAATGAAAGCTAATTGTGCAGTATAAATGGCCAATAATTTTGTCTGTGGTATGGTTTCCAGTCTTTTCACTAATTATGATACTACTATCTATATCTCATGCAATGTTCTTAGAGATTTACTACCAATGACTAAATAGGGGTGAAATAAGAAATGACTGGGATTGGAATCCAATCTTAGGGCTAATAAATGAATAATTGAAATTTCCAAGCTCTTAAATTCCTTTATACGGTGCACAATTATCCGTCTTAAATAAATATCGCAAGCATGAAAGACAAGAATAAATATTTAGATTAAAGAATTGATATATCATCAGTCCCTTGATATAGAAAAGTTCTGACTCTTAAATTCAACAACTGTTATATAAATGGTACATTTCGACCCAGAAGGCAAATTTAAACATCACCTTTCTTCAAAGAATTTATCTGGTGCAGCATTTTCTTGCACTGAATTTGAGCTGAAAGTCATTAATGTCATCTGTTAAGGATAATTAATATGAATAGAAAATAATTGCATTGGGGATCTGGAGACTCTTAAGAATTTGGGGAGGAGTATTAATATTCACACATTATTTGATTACATACTCAATTCTTTATTTCAATGATACTCAAGGGACTGTTAAACCAATGCTGATTCTGAGGTATGAATCTGTGTACTAATTGTCAATGCTTTCTTCGTGCATTATGCTGCACACCTGCTTTCAAAAATGATAAAATTAGATTTATACAAATGTAGGTACTGTAGATGTCAAGCTTTAAAGTAATTACTGATTTTTTTGAGCCAAAACGCATATCTGAGTAGTCTTATGGACACTGTAATCTTAGAAACTTCACTGAATATTGCAACACACGGCAATCTGTAATTACCTCCAATTGATTTGCTGTATTACTGTATGTGTATCTACATCACTTTCACTCTAAGTTTCTTTTCAAAAACCCACTGCACCAAAATTTATCCAAGAGGCTGTTGGAATCTGCGATTCAAACCTGTGCTGTCAGATAAACCAGTCACAATATAAAGGATCTGGAAGCAAAACTCAATATTTATTCTTTGGTCACTTGTAAAGGAGGGACAGCTGGCCAGGACACCAGAAGAAACTCTCTTCTCTTTTGAAATAGTGCCATGAGATTTTTTGGGGGGGCCTGAACAGATAGACAGGACCTCAACATAACAACTCATCTTTCGCCCACAAATATACAGTCAATTCACTTTACAGTATATTCTGTGAAGCGTTTTGAGACGTCGAGAAGACGTGAAAAGCCCTATATCAAATACAAGATTATTATTATTATTAAAGGATGTAACCTCTGGCCATGCAGCACTCCCCCAACATTGCTCTGAAGGGTCATCCAAGATTGTGACTTGGGGCTTGAATCCACAACCAACAAATACCATATTTGAGGAATACCAGAGGAAGAATAATGCCCAAGACTTTTGAGGATAGTAGATAGTACACCGCATTCCTGTAATTAGGGAGTCATCTAATAATTTAAATACTTTGCTCACAAAATACACAGTCAATCCACTTTACAGTATAATGTGCGAAGAGCATTGAGATGCCTCGACAATGTGAGAGACGCTACATCAAATGCAAGGATTATTATTATTATTTGAACAGAGCATGGGAATTGTATTTGTCTTCTAAGAAGAATACCACTTTCCTCTGTAAAATGACATCTTCTTTTGTTGTTAACAACCATAATGAACATCCCTTTATTAAGTGATATGTTAATTAGTGATTATTTCACCCTATTCATGGAATCCTAGAATATTACAGCACAGAAGGTGACCATTCGGCCCATCATGTCTCTTTGGAAGAGCTACCCAATTAGTCCCACTCCCCCGCTCTTTCCCCATATCCTTGCAATTCTTTCCTCTTCAAGTACCTATCCAATTCCCTTTTGAAAGTTGTTATTGAGTCTGTTTCTACCACCCTTTCAGGCAGTGCATTCCAGACCATAACACTGACCATGCATTCTGAGTTTAATTTTTTTTTCCTCAAACCCCTCTCTAGCTATTTTGCCAATTATCTTGAATCTATGTCCATTGGTTACCGACCCACCAGCCAGTGGAAATAGTTTCTCCCTATCTTTCCCAGTCATAATTTTGAACTCCTTTATTAAATCTCCCCTTAACCTTCTCTGCTCTAAGGAGAACAATCCCAGCTTCTTTAGTCTCTCCACATAACTAAAATCCCTCATCCATGATACCATTCTGGTAAATCTCCTCATCCTTCCTAAAGTGTCCAGAATTGGGGCCTAACCAGTGACTAAACCAAAGTTTAGCAGAACTTCCTTGCTTTTGTACTCTGCCTCTATTTATAAAGCCAAGGATCGCATATGCTTTATTAACAGCTCTATCAACCTGCCCTGCCACCTTCAAAGACTTGTGTATGTGAACTCTCAAGTTTCTCTGCTCTTGAACCCCTTTAAAACTATATAATTTAATGTATATTGTTTCTCCTCATTCTTCCTCCCAAAATGCATCACCTCACACTTCTCTGCATTGAACTTCACCTGTCCTGTGTCTGCCCATTTCACCAGTATGTCCTCCTGAAGTCTGCCACCATCCTCCTCACTCTTCACTATGTTCCCAAGTTTTGTATCATCTGCATACTTTACAATTTTGCTCTCTATATTCAAGTCATTCACATGTATCAAAAAAAGCTGTGGACCTAATACGACCCCTGGGGGATACTGCTGTATACTACCCTCCAGTATTAAAAACAATCGTTCACCACTACCCTCTGCTTTCTGTCTCCCAGACAATTTTGTATCCATCCACTATCCCTTTAATCCCATGGACTTCAATTTTGATAACAAATCTATTATGTGGAATTTTATCAAACACCTTTTGAAAATCCATTACATAACATTAATTGCACTACCTTCATTAACCCTCTCCATTCTTTCATTGAAGAACTCCTTATGTTTGTCAAACATGATTTGCCTTTAACAAAACTTGGAGAGGATGATGCAAACATAGGTATGCTTCATTTTCAACCACAAATATACAGTCAATTCACTTTACAGTCTATTCTGTGAAGCGCTTTGAGATCTCGAGAAGACGTGAAAAGCGCTATATCAAATGCAAGGATTATTATTATTATAACCAGTAGTAATAAACGGAACCATAAAACCACAGGAGCGAGTTGACTTAATACAGTCCTGCAATTTTGCTCAAATGAAAAAGGACATTAATTTGTTTTGACTATAAATAATGGAATCATCCTGGCCTCTCTGAATTTGAATCGTAACCATAAAGAAATGGACAAATACAGTGTAATAGTGTAAATTTACTATAACAGCGCTGCACTATTTCACAGAGTTTTCACCTCTAACAGTCTGGAGACTAATTTAAAGATTCATAAATGGAATACAAAGCATTATTCCACCAAGTTATGGAATACGGTGCGATAACCGTTCCTGACTTGTGAAATCCGTCAGCTTTGTGCTATTCACAAACCTTTCCGAGTGCAATTTCCGAAAACTGTCCAAGTTTGTAACAAAAAGCTGGTGGGTAAAGCGGCATCATGTCACTTGGCTCTCTGATTTTTCTGTGTACTTTGCCAGCTTTCAGAAATCATAATCATCACTTTGATTTGTATTTGCGTATATTACTCACAGGAACCCTCTGTTGACTAAAGATTCAACTCCATCAGTAATGCAATCCTCAGTTCATAACTCGACTTTGCATTATAAAATATTTTTGAGTTACTGATACAGATACATTTTTAAAAACCTGCAATTTAACTTGTGTGGTGCAGCTATAAATTATGTTATGTAGTTAAATTATACAGTTAAAATGATATGATTCCATTTGGGAACCTGTGTCTCTGCCATAACTGTTCAATCTGTGTGTCAACCTGGCTCAGTGGTAGCATTCTCACCTCTGAGCCAGAAGGTTGCGGGTTCAGGCCTCACATCAGATCTTGGAATCACTTAATCTAAGATGATGCTCCAATGCATTGCTG